GGGCATTACTTTTATGGAAGGCATCGATGGTGAGAGTCAAAAAACAAACTACCACAAACTATTCAAAAGGTAGGTCGTCGTAACACGATATCCCGACACTATTGTTGTCCGAGACTTAGGCCTATTTGACAGCGTCAACTGGATGCTTAACAACCTAGGTATGTCGCACTTCTGCTCCTTAACCATCCCCACATACACTAGACTTACATATGAGTTTTTTTAGTTCTTTTTGATATTCCATTGGACCTTCTTGCACCACTGGCACTACTCATTTTAGGATATTCGATAGAGATTTCACCATTAGCCAAGACCAAATAGGCACCATTTTTTAGTTACCTAGCAGAGAAGAATATGCTTGCCAATCCCCTCTTGATAGAAACTAGTAACCTAGTGCTTTTGGCTTCTGGAAGCAGATAACTGACAAAACTACCACCACCTGGGAGGGTCTTAAAGCCACAACCACTCATAACCCAGCCATTAGATATTTGCACCGTACCTTAGCTAACACCATCTTTGGCCGGGAAAACACTAGGAATGTGAATTCTAAAGATATCTTCTTTATTCACTGTGCACTTTTTAAGACTAAAGCCAACCCAACACCGTTCTTTTTGACACACCTTGCATTTGCCAGCAGTAAAGTAGTAGGTCTTATATGTGTTGGCGAGTTGATTACCTTTATAGCCCTTACTTTAAATTTGCACATTGAGTTGGCTACTCTTGAGCCTCTAACGACACCCTTTGTTGATTTAGATTACTGTCATGCCATACGTCTTATTAAGAGCAAACCATGCGGCAAATATTATTTGATGATTAGTAACCGAGAGGTTAGGGGCATTACTTTACCTAGCGTCGCACACATTAACGTGTGAATTAGTACTAACTGGATTTTTGATACTGAGGCTCATGATCATGATGAAGAGATGGTTGACCGAGCTTATGATAACCTTATGGGACACGATGCTCCATAGACTAGCACTCGTACCCGTACCATTGATGCTCCCGAGCCTAGCACTCGTGCACACACCACACACTAGGTCAGCAGGAGGAACTAAGAGTCGCCATTAACTAGGTCAGCCAGCAGCATGTTGATTTTGTTGATAGGGCCGAGCAAGGTATGGGTGACCTTATCGAGCAGATGGACAGATTAAGGATGAAGGTGACAGATATGAGAGAGCTTATGCAACATGTGCCATAGCCTAGATATGGTAGAGGATTTGGACGTCATCACGGCCAAGGCCGGAATCACTGAGCCTCCTACCAAGCTTTCTACTCCTTCTTTCACCTTGTACTTACTGGATATGGTAGAGGATTTGTCGTGCCTATGCTTCAGACATTGTGCTTACTGTTTTTCATCGTGTTGGGTGATTGCTTGAGAACAAGCAACGGTCTAAGTGTGGGGGAGTTTGATAACGAGAAATTATATCATGTTTTTAGGCTTATTGTGCATGTGTTTTGTCCTTATTTTATTATGTTTTATCACCTTTTGCTTTGTTTTTATGTGTTTTGCAGTTTTCAGCTAGATTCGATGCGAATTCGAAAACAAACCGAAAAAAAAGAGCAAAAGGGAGCAAAAAGAGCAAGTTTCTGTCATTTTACTGATATGGCGTTCGCCGTGAGCATATGGCGTTAGATTGCCCTTTCCAGCCACGTCATTTAAGTATCAATTCAATGGCATTCGCCATTTCCCATATGGCATTCGCCATTACGTTGCAGACAGCAGTTCTGCGTAAGTGGGCAGTTTTTCAGCAGTTTCTCAACTTCTTTTCCCTCCATCAGCATGCACGGCCAAGGGGAGTTACAAGGCCAGATTACTCTATAAATAGGACCTAGAGGGGTGTTTCTGAGGAATCCAAGTCGTGAGAAAGCGTTGTCGAATCGCATTTAAAGTTAAGCAGAATTTTACATGTAAAAGTGACAATAACTCACATTGAGGGATTGTCACAATTGTTTTTACTTCTTATTTTCGTACTGTCCCTCTTGGATCACGAACAAGTCTGTTGGCATTTCCTTTTCAATGTAAGCTTCAGTTCTTTAATTTTCAAATTTTTACTGTTTATTTACTTGCATTTGTTATTGCTTTATAGTATTTACGACATGTTAGCTTTTAAGTTTAATTGTTTTGATCATGTTATTTTTAGTTAAAGTCATGTCTTGCTAAATTTACTAGAATTTGGCGTATGAGGACCGTCGTTACCGACGGGACTCCGTAGAAAATTATAGGTGTGAATGCATGATTATATGTTGTTTTGGTTGTAGTTTCCACTTGTATGATTTATTATTTTGACACGAGAGTGAAAAAAACAAACTAAGGTTCAGGCCGATAGCGCGAGAGTGTGAGGAATGAACCGGATAGTGGAAACTAGGCAACGATCCTAAAAACAGCGAGAGCATTTAAGGCATCGTTTAGGATCTTATTGATTTACAAAATATGATTTTTAATTGAAATGGACAAGTGAGAGAAAAATCATGTGGTTAGGAAGTGTGGTTCTTGTCAATAGCGCGGGTGAGACAGAGTCTTTAAGTTGATATTTTTCTACGGAACTAGATTTAATTGTAATTAGCACTAGAATTCTACAAGCTCCTAAGGAACACGGAGTCCATATTTCGAGCTCGTTTTATCATTATTTTCAAACCTTTAGCAATTAGCATTTTATTTTCGTTCGTACCCATTTTACCTTAAGGTTTAGCGTTGCATTGCTACAATAGATAACATTAGTTTGATTATTAGTCCCTGTGGGTTCGACAATCTTTTAAAACTACGCGATCAACTATATACTTGCAGTTATTATCCGACAGACACGTCAATGTCGCGCGACCAAACGTACAATGGGTGACAACCTCTTGTGGTATAGGGTTGTAATAAGAGTTTAAGGTTGTTGTAGTGTTAAAGCAAACTCACACAGAGATGGCGAGAAGCTTTGTATATGATGTTTTACGAGAGAATTGAATGTCATCTTTTATCTTATAGCTGAGGTATTTATAAGAATCTTTTGGGTATGGGTTTTTAAAACGATATAGGCAGCAACAACCTCTCTCTCTCTCTCTCACACACACGCACACACACAAAGTGGTTAAGCCTCAATGCATTGATGTTACTAATAGGAACGAATCAAGTGATAAATATGCAGATGAAAGTGATGATGATGTAATGAATGTTAGGTTTGATGACAGTGAGGAGGATAGAACAATTGGATTGAATGATGGATTTGAAGTTGTTGAATCAAACTGATATTTGTACCTAATCATATTGAAACAAACTCATTCATTCATTCATTAAAATCTCAAACTAATGCATTGGAACAACTGATACATTAGAACAATTACTTCAAATTAAATACAAGTACAACACATATATATTGAAAAGTCAAACTGTAATGAAACAACTACAATATATTGAATACAAAGGCAAACAACACCTATGACACTATTAGTCCAACAGTTAATCAATAGCTTTTGTTCCTTTCATGTTGCAGATTCTTCTTGGTTTTTTCAAGCTTCTTTGAGCAAGATTCATTAGCATACTCCTTCCCAAACTCCTTTGTGAATTCCTTTCCAAACTCTCTAAGGTAACCAACCATGTCTTCCCTTTGTTGCAATCACCTGCTAAGCTATTGTCAACTGTCTTAATACCAAATCTCCACTCAATTTCATCAAGTTCATCATCCTAAATAAATAAATCGAAGTTAACCCCTGCCTGTATTTAAGAACCAAAGAAAACATGAATTTAGGGAAGAATGAAAAATAAGAAACAATGTTATATGATTTTCATACCTTTTGTCAATTCCTGCATCTCTAAAATTTTCTCTTGGAATTTTCCGACGTATTTGAGACCCAAATCTTCATGACCTGATTGCAACCACATTTAGACATTTGTCTTCCATTCGAAGTACCGATTGAGCACAATTTGTTGTATGCCATTTGCAACCCCTAATACACGTAAACGAAAAAGGTAAAAGATGAATTAGATTACACAGATGGTAGAAGATGAATTAGTTGAATTAGGGCCGTGAAGAGGATGAGTGGTCACGTGATTTCTTGAACATTTAGTACATCTTGAACATTTAGTACATTTGACAATGAAATTTTAGATTCAGTCAACACCCACTTGCCACATCAGATGCTCAAATGAATCTGGCCACTAAAAGGTTTAAATCAAAGAAATCTTTATGTGACAAGGTTGTATTTAAGAAAACCAGAAATCCCCTAAATGACAAGAGTAAATACCTATTTACCCTTTTAATTTTAATAATATCTCTAACAAATAATTAAATATGTTAATTTTAATAACAAAACTAATATTATTTATTAAAATGCCTTTATCAAATAGTTAGTAGAATAGTCTAATAGAGTAAAAATTAATAAATAAAAATATAATAATAATAAAATATAATAAATATTATATTAATATTATAAAGAAACATTTATTTTAAAATAGAGAAAAAGTACAAATAAAACACTTTTTATAAATCGAAGGGAATCCATAATGCATTAACCAAAGAAGGGCCGGCGTGTAAATCAAACTCCCGCACATCACTCAGGATCCAAAATTTTCACAATTAACTATAACTAAGATCTCTATTAGTTGTTTTGTCATGATTAAACAACAGCTAACCTAGACGACTTCCAAAAACTAGATTAACAAAAGGTAGCACACAGCTTCATATTTTTGTTTTTGTTGTGGGACGGGGTGTTTCAACTCAGTTTTTCTTCTATCACTAGTAAATAAATAACAGTTCGAGAAAGAAATGGCAATACTTATTGGAAATAAAAATATCATGACAAATCATGAGTTAAAAAGATATGCTCCACCTCAACATCAAAAACAATTCCAGAAATATCTGGTCAACCAAGAAATTCCCAAAGTGGGTTGACACTATTATTATAGAAGGCTAAAACAAAACAAAACAAAAAATATGTTGAACCAACAATTTCAAAAGAAATGGACCGATATATCTTAATATCGTCATTGTCAAATATAATACAGATTGCTGTCTTGCAATTTAACCAGTCAATGCTGATGCTCCAGAGATAATCTCAATCAATTCGGTGGTGATTGATGCTTGACGAGTTCTGTTACAAAACAAAGATTAGTCAGAGAAGCCATAGGTTTGCTGAGAATCTGAGATGATTCAATTATGTATGTTTCAATATTGAATGTGTAGTATTAACATTTACAAGAGAAAGGAAAAGATACCTGTTATAAGTGAGGGTCAGACGATCAAGCATATCCCCAGCATTCCTGCTAGAGCTGTCCATGGCAGACATCCTTGCTCCTTGCTCACTGCAGGCATTCTCCAACACTGCATTGAACATGACCTATACCAAAAAGTAGAGTTAAGAAACATTAAATATAATTTTATAAGAAATCATCAGTTTCAAGCGCCAAAGATCTCGGTTTAAAAACTTGTTCCCGCACCGCAATTCCAAATCAAATAGCATTAAAAAAGAAATAGAAAGAGTACAACAATAATCAGTAATGCACTTCAATAATCAGCACACTATTCAAGTTGGTGTAGTACATGAAGCCTGTTAGGGCAAAAAAATCAGGAACGCAAGATGGGCCTTCTGATGTTATTGCAGGTACAAATGAGACCAAGGAGTTAAGGAAGTATTGGAGGAAGTAGTAAAAAGGGTGACCAATGTGGTTGTAGATTTGAGCCTTGGAATTTCGGGGAAGGGGTTTTGGGGAAAAGGGAGAGTAGATGTTTAAAGCTTGTATGCTGTTATTTTGTCAAAGCTTTACCATTAGAAGTTTCAGAAATGACTACCGAGTCTGTGAAGGGGTTTTGGGGAAAAGGGAGAGTAGAGGTTTAAAGCTTGTATGCTGTTATTTTGTCAAAGCTTTACCATTAGAAGTTTGAGAAATGACTACCGAGTCTGTGAATAAGTATTCTCACAACCATACAGTAGCAGAGGTGTTTTACTGATAATCAATAGTACCAGTGATGCATTTCTTTTCCAACTATGTTTCTATTGCTATTATCAAACTCTTACGGAATTTAAGGGTTGATATCCTCCATGTAACTATAAACAAAAAGTATTAAAAAATATATAAAAAACAAATGAAAAAGGAAAATGCCTAGCAATTGAACTGCTGAGGACATCAACGTTTTTCAAATAATAGGAACTATTTGTGATATTCAATAACTTGAAGAACAAAATATGGACAGACAATAGTCAAGTCAAGGTCCCAAGCTCATGCTGCTGCTAACTGTAATGTTATTGTCTACCATCCACGATACAGCTCAGAAAAATATAGGGGACAGACAATATTTATATCATGGAATAACAGCTCCGCTCAAAAGTAATATATCTTCTAACTTTTAAGAATGTGATAGATTTGAAACAGAATATAGCAAAGACGTGGAAAATTTACAGACAGAAATCTGTCTCTGGACATGTGCAGAAGAGATACATTAACATAGATGAGAAAATATGAATGACATTGAGGCATTTAAAACATGCCCTGGCTCCCAAATTACTGTACAAAACCAGCTATTAATTCACTCATATGTTATGCCCCTTCTAATTCACCCTCTCTAACTAGTTACATAACAAACAATTTCAACTAACTACAGCTGTCTAATACAGACAGATATAGTTTCCCATTACTGATTGTTAAATAGATATGAACTCTGTATGGTATGCAGTGAAAAACTGAAAAGTCAATCAACAAGTATCTGGATCACCCTTCTTTTGATGCTTTTTCTCAAGTCTCCTCTCTCTACTTTGACCTTCTCCTAGTAACTATAGGTCACAACAAATCAAGCATCTGCAATTTCTAACTAAATATTTTCAAAACCACTAGGGAACATGTCCTTGAAAGCTGAGAGAAAGTTCTCCTTCACACACACCACCTTTGAAAGAAAAGTGATATTGAAACTGCCATAGAATGTTCTTGGCAGAAGTTGTACCAGCCATGAAATCATAATCATCTTGATGCAAGGTCAAGGTAAACTTGTTACAAAGTAAATAGGAAAACCCTAGAGTTTGACAGATCGAAACAAAGACCACACAAAAAATGGGCTAATAAGAGGGAGAAGGGAGCGAAAAGTTCCATGTAGAAGTATAGATATGGAATTATTTCCATATAGTCAGGTGTGGGGGCTGGTTTAGGGGACTATGAGAAAGTTGAGTAGTGAGAGTAAGGCTTTGCCCTGATGAGGATTTTTCCGTGTACCGGAGTAGCTTAATTATCTATGTTCCTAGCTGATTCTGTCTTTAGGTAAGAAGAATTGCTCCTCTGTTTAAAAGCTTGATTGAATCTGTTCTCTTACTTTGATCCTGCTATGGAGTTTGTGGTTCTAGCAAGCATTTTATTTTCTAGATTTCTTAGTCTCTCTGTTCTATCAGAATGTTCTGAATGCAAAAATTTCAACAGCGGATTTCCTTGTATATTAATTTTGAATTTGATTCTAAAATCTTATGTGCGGCATTAGATTAATTTCAATTTATGCAACGAGGAAAAATATTCAGTACGCAACAAAGCTTATCAGGAAGTTTTGAAAACTGCACTCACACAAGAAAACTGGAACTCGGACAGATTCTGAAGAACTTCTGATTTTGTCTCACCCCCTTCAATCTCATAGGAATCCAGTTCACCGAGTGTTCCTCCAGCTTCAGCCTCTCTTTCAACAATCTAACATGAAAAATGCATTACTTCACAGCATTTAAACAAGCCAAAATCACAACATCAAAGCCTAATATTGCAGAACAAATAAGCCTTAATGCTTTCTTCATTAAAAGCAACACCAAACGTCAAATCTTAATATTTCAGGTCAGGGAACTCTGGACAAAACTCGAATACAACAGGAGTATTGAAAAGTGCTTAATAAATTAAAGTACCTCAGGGGATAGTACAGTTGACACTGTTGGTATAAATTGCACAACCGAATGAAACTTATTGAAAACAACCCTAAGTGCATCATACTCCACATTCTTCAAAATGTCATCAGCCAAGACAGACACCTGAAAATACAACAATTAAAATGAAACAATGGGTATATACTTAGTGTAGGACAGTAAAATTAAGATATTAAATCTATCTATGGCAGAGACAATATTGATTTGCAATAGTCAAATTCCACATTGAGTGTTTAAATAGCTTATTTTGGGGAAAATGCTTTCTTTGACAGCTTTTTGGAAAAGCTTTCGAAAACAATGTTATTTCCTCATAAAAGCGGGAACCAAACAAGCTAAGCTTCAATCTTCGACCAAAAACAAGTTTTATGTCACTGAGTTGGGTTGCCTTGCCTGTATTAAGCAACCATCGCTTCAGGGTCAGTTGGAAAACAAGTTTTTTTTTTGCTGCAAATCTTCCTTAAAACAAATATGTTCAGGACCATTTGAAAACTTGATTCCTTGAACATACGAAAAACATAAAATTTAAAGATTCAAAAGCAAAACAAATATCTACATCTGTGGTATTATCATTATCATTCATCTCAACCTTTTATAATTTTCATTGCTATCTTTCTTTTTTCACTGCTAATTTCCATCGTCATTCATCTCAACCTTAAAAATTTTCATTGCTAACTTTCTTTTTTCATTGCTAATTTCCATTGTCATTCATCTCAACCTTTTATAATTTTCATTGCCAGCTTTCTTTTTCCTTAAATGTATTACCACTAAAACTATCAAACTCCCCACAGTCCCGGCTCTTCAACTATAATTACTTATGATTTAAACCCATAAAAACTGAAGCCAATGATTCAATGTAGATTAGAAAAAAGTAGGCTCTTGGAAAAAATGTGAAGACATAAATATAATTGTATAAGACAGTCACCCACTGGTTAGAGCCCATAAAAAGACCTAATATACTAACCTGAGTATAATTCAGAGGATTCTTTTGCAGCTCAGTCAAGCTGAGTACAATGTCTTTCTTTGAGTCACGAATCAACTGAGCCTTAGCCTTCTCTCCCAATATGACGTACTTGGTCTCTTTATCAGGTCCTATAGTGGCAAAAAGGTTTTGAATCATTTTCATCATGAGAATTTATCTCAAAATCTTTCAACATTAGAAATTTAGTGTCAGTCCCAATATCTTACAAACAGTTTAGACAATTAAAAATAGCACACTTCACATTGTAAAAGTTTTACATTTTGTCAGGAATACAATTATCCTATAATCCTTGAAACTTGCAGAAAATTATGGGTAAAGTAAATGTAACTGATGCAACTGTGGATGTGGACAAAAATCCAAAACACAGATTGCAGCAATCACAATACACACACAACAAAGTGCAAAACTTACCAGAATTCAACTTGCTCAACACTCTGCTTATCTTTACAGAGGTGGAGTTGATTCCACCACAAAGACCTTTGTCTGAAGAAACAGTAATAACAACATTCTTCTTGACATCAACCGCTGTGCATATAAAAAATTATTAAAAAAAAAACACAATGAGCAATATCAGAAAAGCAAAAACATTGCATTCACATACTATTAGTATGCGCCGTGTAAACAATTCATATTTCTGAAAATCTAAGGGGCCATTTGGTTTTTGTTTTCAGTACCAAGTACAACACTTTTCACCATCTTTACAGATTTCAATGTTTTCTATTGGAAAAAGTGAAATCAGCTTATAATGCAATAAACAAAAGAAAAAACAATGTGAATTATTTTGACTAAACCCAAGGATTGTAATAAAAGTTCCACAAGAGTGATTGTGGCTGAACCTCTGCAACCGCAACTGCAAGAGCATAATACCTATAGCATCGCCGAGAAGAGCCGTAAATGGCTGCCACAAACCACGTGAATTTTCAGCCCTAGTTTGAACAGCTCTTAGTTTGGATGCAGCAACCATCTTCATTGCCTTAGTGATTTTCTGGATATTCTTCACACTCTTCATCCGATTTCTCACTGCACAATTACATAGATCCATAACACAATCAAAATCTATTCATTCCAGACCAATCTCATCGTAAATCTAACGAAACTATCAAAAAAATTAAAAGAATAATTGAAAGGAAAATTGATAAAATGACGGTACCAATTTGAGTGGAAATTGAACGAGCTCCTCCAATTGAAGATTGGTCTCTGTGAATCAAATGAAATTAAGATGTTAATCGAAAATGATGAATGAAGATAGAGAAAAATGGTGAGATTTGAGAGTGTGAGAACTTACAACGGAGAGACGATGGTGGATCGGAGAGTGTTGTTGATTGGTTGAGAAGACATGAGAGGAGCCAAACGCTTCCCTTCGCGTCGGATTGCAGCAGCCATCGCCATCGATTGATTCTTTGATCGCTGTTTTCGGAACCCTAGCTCTTCAGATACAGTTCTGTTTTAATTGTTTGTGTTAACTTAGCGGAATGAACGAATATGAACGAGACACTGTCACGACACAGGCCTTGCACACTCCTCTTTTTTAACGACTAAAAATAAATAATTAAACTGGTGCTCAAAATTTTGGGTATTTGTAAAAATGGACTGGCTTTTTTTAGAGGTATTCTTTTAATACGTTTGTTGTCACAAAACCCACACACTTGTCTTTTTTAACTACTAAATAAATAGCTAAATTGGTGCTCAAAAGTTTAGGCATTTAAAATATGGATTTTTTTTTTAGAGGTAGTCTTTTAATAATTGTGTAAATCTATAAATGTTTCTTGTGATTTAAATGAATTTATGTGCTTTTGCAAGTAGAAAATGGGTAGTAGGTTATTGAATTTTATTGTGGAAGGTCTTTGGGACGTAATGGAAGTCTTCGATAGATGGAGAAGAAGTATATCTGCAAGATTATTATTTTGACGTCTAAGTCAGTGAAGTAAGAAGGGAGAAACTTGTAAATGTGTAATGAGTGATATTTTGGTGTAATGCATAATCACATTTATACAAGAACGATGGTTAGAATCACCATCAGTGAACACGGCGCCTTGTATGCGAGACACATGGATGAATTCCAACGGTTGAGATGACAGTGGTGTGTGGCTTCGTTGTGGGACTCTCTGGTAAGAGTGCGCGAAACTTTGGATTGGGCCTTCTTGTTGGGTCAATTAGTCGGCCTGAAATAGTTGTTTGTTTTCATGCAACGTAGATACCTTACATCAACCTCTTTGAATTCAGTGTTGGCACATTCTTGTAATATCTTTTGTATCAAAGTATTTAGTGGTATATATGATGAGAATCTAATGGGCGACCCTTTGTGCATGTCCTCTTGACGCGTATTGTCTCCTCGCTTTCCCCTAACGAGTTCCCTAATATTTTGTTTCATTCCACGTCTTCTGCCAACAACTTTTCTCCATACTAATGTAGAGTTGGGCTAGTGTGAGGAGTCATATCATGCTTCATATGCTCTTTGGCCCTAATGTTTTGTGAAACATACAATTATGTCCCCTAACCCCCTTTTCAAAAATCCAACATTTTTCATTGGATCCCCCCACCTTCATGACTACTTTAGTGAACCAGTCGTTGTATTTTCAAAGAGTTTCCTTCTTCTTCTGGTGGATCGCACTAAGGATGACTATCGTTTTTGCTGATATTTCTTCGTTGTGAATTGCATTGGGGACTCGTCGTATATTTTTCTTTAATAGTTTATGGAACCGGAGTCCAAGGTTTTGAACCACTTTGTGGTTGCCCCTTTGAAGGTTAACATAGACAACTTGCATTCACAATGCTCTTAGAATGGTGATAGTCGAGCATTCTGTCCATGTGTTTTGCATGTTCTTCTAAGTCCCCGATTCGTTTATAATTGTCCAACTTTGGCGATTTCTCGAGGGACTTAGAAATATGACAGTCAATAATGTGCTTTGAGAAATGGATTTTTTTGGTGATGGAAGAGAGTTTGGTGGGTGCTCCCTTGCTAGTATCTTCTTTGAGATTGGTGTAAAGGGGGTCTTATATGATGAAAATATTCAGGAAGAGCACCATCGCCACACCATGAGTTATAAGAGGAGTTACAACTGTGGTGGCGACAATTCCCCCACGAATTAGGTGCTCTCTTTGGTTGCCATGTGGCATCATCGAGAACGACCCTCATAATGGCCTGAGCTTACCATGATATATTACTTCTAATTAAGTAGTGAGTTATGACAAAACCTTTTATTGGTTCTGGTCTATATAGAGAAGTCTCTCTTTGAGAAGATGTGTGTTTTTTTGTTGCACTAGGTTACACATGGTCGTTATAAATTCATTTGTGTATTGCATCTTGGGCATGGCTTGGAGTCACTAGAAGTTTTGAGACATTTCTTATCTTGACAGTTGCAATTGTGGCAAGGGCAAAAGTTGTTTCAATTTTTGGCATTTGAGTAGTTGTTTGAACAATTGAAATGACGATAGGGCCTGAAAAGTTCCACATCCAACTAATTAAGTGGTCGGGATCTGGTAAGAGGCTGTAAGTGGAGAAGTTACCAAGACTGAACACATGTCTTAAAAGGAGGAAATGACTCTTCAGACACTAGCGTAAGGATCAGTACGATGGTGTCAGGTGTAAGGATGGTGTTTCGATGAGTGTTGGATTGAATCACTTTAGAATCTATCATTTTTTAAGATTATAGAAGTTAAAGATGATTGAGTCAGTTAACAGAAATGATTATGGCAGTGCAATGGAAAGGATCATAGAAATTTGGCGTGGAATTTCATAAAAATCAAGATGAATCCCACATTTAACCGTTTGGATGGCCCATAACAAATACAATATAATCAAAAACTAAATTAAATATGAAATGAGCTAAAAAAAAATTATTTAACATGTTTGAATTTGATGTGTTAATCATATAGATAACATAACATGAACCATATCACTGAAACCAACTTGTGTTTTAATTAAGCTCGTCTGAGTTCAATTCCAACTCGTTTAATATAAAATATGTTTGGTTAAGTTAAGAGATTTTTTGTGTTAAGCTATTTTGAATGGCGGATTCTCGTTACACCCCATTCGTTTTTTTAACTCTACAAAAGTTTAATATTGTCCCTCTTTAGAAGTAAGCACCATATTCACCCAGTCCGAATGGAATAGTTTGGAGTGTGTGTTTATATAATACAGGTCATTCTTCACCTTCACATTATCATTATCCATTAGGAAACAAATTCAAAAGTCCTAAAATTGAAAAAATCACAATAGGCTCATTTTTCATCCAGATCAAGTGTTACATCGTACATTCTTTTGGAAATCATCAAAAAACTATAAGGTGTGTTGAATTTTATAATGTAATTGTTATTTTAGTTTCTTATGAGAATGAGATTCTTATGTTATTATATTATGGTGTTTGCGCACATCTTGGAGGAAACTTCTATAGACATTTCTAGATTCATATATTTGGAGCCATTCTATAAACTTACTTTCAGACTATGACAAAAAGTCTGATTTTTTGTTCTACTATGATTTTGCATGTATCTTTGGAACTTAATAAAGTTTATAGTGATGAGAAATATATAAAACCCTTTGTTATATTATATGTGTGAAGTGTTTAATTTTGATAATAGTCTAATGAAATGTTTATGAACAAATTACTATTTAATTCAATTTAATTTAGGTTAGGGTTATAATAATAAAATTCCTGTCAATTTTCACTATAAAGAAAAATGTTTTTTACCTCGATTGAAAAAGAGGTTCTACCTTAGTTTCACAGACGAGGGAACAAAGCACATCATGAAAAGTGCATCACTTTGCCTCTCCATTTTAACACAACCGACGAATAATATGTAAAGGTCATGGATTCGATTTCCAAGGAGGCCCTTTTTGGAATTTTTAAATGGCGAAAACACTTGACAGGGCTGCAAGTGCACGGCTTTTCTGGTTTTAGTATAAAAGGTATCAAATCTCACAAAGATCAATTGGCAAGTATTATTCTTTACTATTACAATGTTTATCTAAGGCGACACGAATGGTTTTGATCACGTAATCAGAAAACAGACTGGTTTTAAATTAATTATAATAACGAGAAACTGAAATGCAATTATGGTTGACCTTTTTACACTTGTTATTCATAATTTATAATTATAATAGGAAAGTGTTTTTGTGTGCAAAAGAATTAAATTAAAGGCATTGCCCGCTTTCGCGTGTACGACATGGGATTTCGACTCTACAATTTATTCAACCGCTTTCGCGTGTGTGCATTACAACTTTGAAATCCCGTTTGAAAAATAATCATTCTTTACTTGAAAAGTTATTTTTAGTAGAAAATTAATTTAATGATTTGGCCCGATTTCGCGTGCCCGAAACCGTATTTTAAACTCACTAACACCCGCTTTCGGTGTCTAGCTACAAGTTTAATTAAAATAACCTTTTGAAAATTGGTAATTTCTAAGTTAATTGAAAAAACATTTTTGTTGTATTTTAAAATTAATTCCCAAGTTTTCTACAGACAGATGCAACTTTTCCTCTTTCAAGGGGAAATCGATATCGCGTTATTTCAGCTTTTGTTGTAAACTTTTATCGTTAAAATCATAATTTTCAGCCTTAAAAATAATTAATGTTACATTTATAAATTATACAATTTAACATAGCGTCATCGATACGATGGTTCTTACATTTCGAACCTTATGAAAATCTACTCAAACATGGTGATACTAGTAAGCAAACAATTATTCTTTATGGCATTCATATTCATAACAGTAAATAAAAATTGCAAATAAATGGAACTTGAAATTACATAAATATGAAAACTTTAATATATTACTGGTTCTCCGAAGGGAGACTTTAATATGGTACAAAAGCTGAAAATAAGTGCTGATAAAAATTCTGGCAAGATTAAATTCAAGCAACAACAATAATTACAACTTCAAAAGGGCAGGAAATTAAATGAAAAATACTCCAAACATAAGACTAAATTTGCAATATTACTCAATGTAAGAAAAATTGCTTTTACAAAAATGATTGTTATGGCTCGTACAAAGTTTGGATTTCCAGTTTGAGTCATAAAAGGTCTATTTATAAGCTATAATTTGTACTATAGGTTGTAAAATTGTGTCTAAGGTAATGGAGAAAATTGGGAAGTGGAGAAAAGTGGCTATTGAAAGTGGGTGAAAAATACTGGATTACAGAGTCATGACGAGCTTCACGCTGGTGACGTTCCGTCCTTCATGATGGTGACGATCATCTTCTTACTGACGGTCAGCCTGTTGTCTGGCTCAGGCATTTCTTATTTGTTTTGTTGACTTCTTGTTGACGGATTGACTCTCTTGGGGGGGCTGACGATCGTCATGACAGTAAAGAACCCGTCACGACAGCATAATTCTTGCATTTTCTTCCCGTTTTCGTCGTTTTCACCATTTTGTCACGCACAAGCTTC